TGAAAAACTACTCCACTGTAAGAGATATGAACGTACACCTTCCAATTTGTAAATCATTTGCAAATTGGCGTCATGAGCTGAATTTCTCCGGATACACTGTTGATGAGCTGGTTCAGCTCCAAGTAAGAGTAGCAATCGTGTGTTGGTTCGATCACTCTGATTTGGTTGACGGGCTGGTGAACAGTATGAGCGAAGAAATATTCCTTTCCAATTAAGTCTACCCTCATGCATGGCTCTACACTTATATAAACAGCATTCTCCAAAAAATACCAGTCTAGTAGGGATAACTATTTCATAAAAGGTTATCAGTCTCAAAGTATGTAGGGATATGAATGAAATTGTGAATGTGGTGACTTAATAGTCTGTGTAAATAATGCAGCAAACATGAATATATCTGAAGAAGATGACACAAGCAAGACTGGACAATTTACATACAAACGTCTCTATTGAAGTCACAGATTCTTGATATATTTAATGTAAATATGAGGAAAGGACATTTTCAGTGGATGAAGGAGAGATCAGAGGAATCTATCCTATCACGCATAGAAAAGTAGGTGGAATCGGGTGCTGAAATATACGCAGATGGGGTTATCTAAAATGAGTTGCCCACATCAAGTTATTGTTCACAAAAAGCACTTCTTCGATTCGACAGCTGCAGTGCACGCAAACAACACTCAAAATATGTGGAGTCATGTTCGAAAGTTCCTAAGAACTTTTGCAGGATCATAAAGCCTCATGATCTCACTAGGGGATTTGCTATGGTCTCATGGATGAGTAACAATGCAGACAATGGAATGGCTTAAACGGTGGTAAGCCTATTTGAAATATAAATATCTTCATCTCTCATATAAAATAGATTTATAAATTGTAAATTTTCCTGAATAGTTACGTTGTCCTTCACATACTCCTTTCTGATTGGTCAGAGCACACTTGAACACTACGGATCGTCACCACAGTTTAGTCCAACCAATCAAAATTAAGTAGGTGATACCATCTTCTACTATAGTCAGCAATCCAGAATTTGTCGATTTGAGTCCAAGTGTGATATGCACCATTTGTAAAAACAGAAATATATAACTAGTATATTGAGTGATTCGTTTGGGGGAAAGTGACGAGGATCAATAGTGGAAAGGCAAAGTTTACAGGATGCTAACTTTCATAAGTTGTATCTAAGTAAACTGCTTTGTGGTGGCTAGTAGTGAGGTTTTAGGAGACTCATCAGGTCGATGCGCCTGTGTATCCCACTGAGACTTGAAGTCAGCACCCATCACTTCAAACACCACAGCGTTACCCCACAGGCTACTGGGTGAGGAGAATCACCTCGTGTGAAACGGATATCATTTTTATCATCCATTGATACTTGTGTTCTCCCGCTGAATGAATCGACTAGCCTCTGTTTGAATATAGGCTCATTTCGGTGTAATCTACTTCATGACTCTGGTTGGTAGTACGAGAAATCCTGGATGCACGTTACACTTTATTCCATTTGATGTTTTGAAAAGAAGTGGGAGATTTCCTATTCCGGTCAAGCATGTTATGCACATCGACACATGCAGATAGACAGACAGACAGGCACATAATAGCCTCATCTGCACAAGTTCATTCATCATATCCAGCTCACTGGTGGACCTTGTATTTTTATTTCTGTAAAAATGAGGCTATACAGTTTAAAACTTGTTGAGTAAATAAACCTGAGTTAGCTATTTCAAGTGGGAATATTTATCATTCGATTAAAACCAGATAACAGTAATAATAATAATAATGAGGAATTGGTTATCGAATTATCTGCCGTCACCACCACCACCACCTGGTATCAGTCATGATGATATCGACGTTACTTCAGTTAAGAGATAATCGTGACGATCGATAAGTTTCATGTTGATGAGGCGAAGTGAAGTACTGAGACTTTGAAATGATGATACCAATTCAGAATTATATATGATGATAATGATGATGACATTGAAGTATGTCATGCATATTAAAGTGTATGTGCACGTGTGGGTGTGTGTGTGGCTGCCTCTCTCTCTCTCTTCATATATACACACACAGGCACAGATGAACGGGATTTATGTGGCAGATAACTGGATGGGATGTACATCCATTTCTGGACCTGTTTGTTTGTCTATGTACACTCATCTATCTATATGCAGAAGTAAGTGTGGAGGATTTTGAGTTCAACTCAATTGATTTTTAGGTGTTGTCCATTTAATAAAGATGCTGATAATAATTAATAGAAACTTTTTTGCCTTTCAAAATTAATCATCATCTTGTGTAATTTGTTAATGGAATCAGGTCAGGTGAAAATATTTCCCTCTATAAAGGAAGATATTTGATTTATACTCGATCCCTTCCTCTGTAGACAAACACGCAGATGAACAGTCACACACACACACAGAGTCACTTTCTCTCTACACCATAGACCAACTACTCAATAGTTTAACTCAAAAGTGAAATGAGACGGGAATTTATATTTTCAACTTCATGAAGTATCATCATATCATAAATCTGATATTCTATCTCAATTCTCAACAGAAATCTCTTTATAGATAAGAAACCAAAGTGGGGAGGGGGAAGAGAATTAAATGCCCCACACTCTCCCACTGTGTATCTACTCATCCATCTATTTCGCTCCCTTCAGACTGAACTGAGAATCAGTGAATATATCATCAAGAATATTTTCCTCATCGTATCATATCGATTTGTTAAGTGGTAGATATTCTCGTTGAAGAGGAGTATAGATGTCCAACAGATAATTACACAATATTGAAGAATACTATAGATGACTGTCTCATTCAACTTTGAAAATATATCATGCAAAGTGAATGAGCTATCCATCCAATTGAAATTCTAATCTCATTATATACTGACTGACTTACTGACTCGAACCCCAGTCTACCTATGGTAAGTTGTTTGAAGTGTCAGATAATATCCATGGAGGTTAATTAGTACCTGAAGTTTTGATGCTAGTGGTTATTGTGTATTAAGCTTTACACGTTTGGCTGAAAGTCTGCCCATTGTTGTCTTTCACTCACTCACTCACTCACTCACTCACTCACTCACTCACTCACTCACTCACTCACTCACTCACTCACTCACTCACTCACTCACTCACTCACTCACTCACTCACTCACTCACTCACTCACTCACTCACTCACTCACTCACTCACTCACTCACTCACTCACTCACTCACTCACTCACTCACTCACTCACTCACTCACTCACTCACTCACTCACTCACTCACTGTGTGTGCGTGTGTGTGACAGCAAATCTCAATGACGTGATTCAAGTTGTCGATTTCAACAGTTTAACTCTATTGATGGCCACTGTTGCAGATGAGTTATGCAACGTGGAACCACATCTATCGGAAGTGGTGAGAAAATCTCTGTTACCTTTAAGATGCTGATATCTTAAGACTGAATAAAGGATATCTGTAACTCTTGAGTTCCAGTGGGGATTCATAGCAAACAGATCACGCATCACTTCAATTCACTACACTCCATAGTGAGATACAAAGAACAAGTGGATCGGAAAAGATTCGTATCAAAGTAAGCAAAGTTGTGTGAGATGATAAACTATTTGAAGATAACGGTTTATGCAAATAAACAAGATGTGAATACCTATGCTCTAGTATACTTGGCTTTCAGTCATATCACCAGGAGTCCACAACCACCCATTCCTATCATCTCGTGGACCCCAGTCAGCCAGTCTACACCCTCCTACATGGTCCACATCATGAGTCATAGGCTTCATGCAATGTGGCTACGTCTTGGACTAGACACCCTGAGCAATCTCCCAACCTAGTCAAGCTTCACTTACCATTTCAAGTAGAAGTAAGCGATACCTAGGCATGCACAGTTTATCACGAAGCCACATAGACTGTTCTGTGTATCAGTATGTCTTCATTTTAGTGTCAGTTTTAAATTACACTGTTCAATTGTTACTTGTCATGAGACCAACTTTGATAGAGAACAGGATAGACTAAAAGCGAGTTCAACAGGCTTCTGCCTTCTTCTCACCATACATTGTAAGTATAATTCATCATCGTATCTAACAAAACGTGAAATGTTATCCCTCAGGCAATCAACTTCCACAGCATTTTAACCAAGTATACATCTCTAAAGAAGTGGATTTGATGAAGTAGACTTCAACTCAGACACTGAATCCATTGACTGATGCTTTTACATAGACTGTTTCATTGGAATAACGAACAATGAAGTGAATTTGAAGATAAATGAGTCCTGGATGAGTTCGTTAAACTAGATGATATCGAAATCTACTCAGACACTTGATGCACAATTGCGTATTAGGAAATGAACCAGGTGTATTGAATGACGATTAGTGATACTATCTGGCTGTTCAAACCTCATTAGGTGGGATGGTGTTTGAACCTGTGACTCTATGGGTAACAGGCAGCTCCTTAAACCAATGAGCCACAACTCCACATCATATCTCTGAGTGGTCATTCATCCATCTATCACTGCCCCATCAGGGTGTTGGAACTCTAGGTGGGGATATGAAAGTTCACATACAATCGATTATTTGTGTACTGGAACGATTACTCCCTTCTATCGGGAATACCAAAACAAAAGTCTAAACCCAGTGGTTTGTGTAACCAACTACAAAATCAATGAATGTGATATACAAAGTTGTCCATCTTCAAAAAGCCATAACTGCTAGTGTGATGTGTTAAATTTCATGGAAGAGATTTCAATTGTTACGTGACACCAGTGAATGAAATTATTGTTCACAGATTTAAGCCAGAAAGAAGGGAAATTCACTTAACCGAAACAAGAAGTAAGCGAGACTTACCAGTTGACATGGTGGACACACGTGGATGTCACAAGGACAATTGTTACCTTGATGTCCTACCATGCGACAAAAGTTTGTTAGATAGTCACCGTTGTAGTATAAATCCCTACACTATTCTATGAGAGTAGGCCAAAGGGAGCATTAGACAGCTGCTTCATCCCAACATTGGGCTTGTCAATAGTGCGCACCTACGAAGTAGTAGTAGTAGTAGTAGTAGTAGTAGTAGTAGTAGTAGTAGTAGTAGTAGTAGTAGTAGTAGTAGTAGTAGTAGTAGTAGTAGTAGTAGTAGTAGTAGTAGTAGTAGTAGTAGTAGTAGTAGTAGTAGTAGTAGTAGTAGTAGTAGTAGTAGTAGTAGTAGTAGTAGTAGTAGTAGTAGTAGTAGTAGTAGTAGTAGTAGTAGTAGTAGTAGTAGTAGTAGTAGTAGTAGTAGTAGTAGTAGTAGTAGTAGTAGTAGTAGTAGTAGTAGTAGTAGTAGTAGTAGTAGTAGTAGTAGTAGTAGTAGTAGTAGTAGTAGTAGTAGTAGTAGTAGTAGTAGTAGTAGTAGTAGTAGTAGTAGTAGTAGTAGTAGTAGTAGTAGTAGTAGTAGTAGTAGTAGTAGTAGTGGCTGACTACTGGTCTTAATCACCAGTGAGTTGAATACACTTTCAACCATATTCAACTAAACCACAATTTAAATGAATAAATGGCTATTAGTCAACTCACAACAAAGTACAGTTAAGTGAAGTAAAGGTCATTCCATTCCATTGCAAAACACAAGGTAGTGAGTGATAAATCAATAGAGAAATCAGTAAGTGAATATGAATGTTTATCTGATTTGTCTGGTTCGATTCATTCTCTAGTGGAGTAATTATATGCAAATTAGATAAAGTAGTAAAATATATTAAGGATATGAAATAATAAATGAGAAAATCAAAGGCATCACAAAATTATACATAAAATACATTTATGCATAAAAATTGTGGTATGATGAAGTGATCGATTGATTGATTGATTGAATCAAGGATTATCCACATTCCATCGATTTTATCATTTTAAGCAATCAGTGTGATGTACACAGATGTCATTCATTATCCACAGATCCCGAGAATACACACATCCATGTTATTACAATTATGATTACAGTTTTATGCAATTAACTTGAGCGAATACTTAATCAGTAGGCTAGATGAAAGTGTGTGTGTGTATGTGTGGATCGCTGAGGATACCGATTATGACAATAGCTGTTTAGTGTTTTCTGAGCTTTGAGGCTTTTCCCGTGCATATTTCATTGTTGGTGACTGGGACACTGGATGGTGAGGGTTGTAATCTGCACGGGTGTGAAGAGAGGCTCAGTTCCTTTGAGGTTTCAAATGTGCCTTGCTGATGGGTGCAAACCATAAGGAAATTTAGGTGGGGCAGTGCTTGCTGCTGATCGTAAAGACCGTTCATCTTGTTGATTGGACATCATCACGGCTTATATCTGCTACCTTGACTTGGTGGTTGCACTTGCGCATTACAGTGACCCGATGAGCTACACTGGCTGGAACGCTTGTTCCCTCAAAGTACTATCATCCCACAAAAATTTGTCGGATGGTCGTCATCGTAGTGTCAATCACTACACTAAATGTGGGTTCAGGTGTGAGTCGTACTACTTGCCGGTGGGATGGTATATCACAGGAGTCAGGTGTTTCTCGTGGATAACCAGCAGCACCACGCTGATGCTGCTTCCTCTGTGAGATAGGAGGAGACTCAAGGAGATGTCAAATAGGCTCCGTGGTCACAGGTACACTAAGAAGAAATAGCCTTCCACGGTGGTGTGGGTATCCCCGTAGTGTCAACCTCCTGCACGCTTACAGTACTACACGCAACCCTATAAACAATTCATGATATGACTTAAATGTAAGCCGAATAATGCTTTCAGAACTCTCATTTTGTTGAGTGTCGCTTTCGCTCAACCCTGTTAACGAGTTCGCCAACTTGTGAACATGGAAATCGCATACCTATTACAACAACAACAACAGTGACCCCGGCCACATCAATAACAACTATCCAATTAGACTGCTTCCACACGCACAACTATGCCAACTGCCCATTGAAACTCAGCCACCAATCAGAGGAAGAGTTTATCAAACAAGAAAAGAATCAGCCAGCCAACCAGCCACCTACGTACTTGACAAATATTTATTCACATATTAATTCAATGGAAATAACATACAAGTAAATGAATCTATTCCCTTCTTTGTCTTCCATCTCCAAGGTGTAATAGAAAAGGCAGCACGAATGGAGTGAATCGTTTCTGGAGAATAAGAGTCACTTATGAAAAAACGAAAAGTTCAACGCATGTACACACCTATAAAGTTTCTCAAATCCAGGAAAGCAGTAGGCCCAGATGGAATTCCCTCAGAAGCACTGAAAACAGACGCAAGAGACAGTCAGCAGAGGACGTGCTCACACCACCATTGCAGAAGATTTGGAAAGAAGGTAGGAGAAGTACCTGCCAATTGATTGGAAGAAGGGCTATCTTGTCAAACTCCCAAAGGAGGGTGGTCGACCTAAGTCTTTGCAGGAACTGGTGGGGAATCATGCTGCTGTCCACCCAAAGCAAGCAAAATATTAAGCCTCATCATCCTGCAGTGAATAAAATATGCTCCGCATTCAAGATTACGACAGGAACAGGCTGGCTGGATTCAGGAAGTAAAAATCATGTGCGGATCAGATTGCAACGCCTCACTACGCTATCATCATAGAACAGAGTATAGAATAGCTGTCAACTCTTCACCTTATCTGAACTCTATTGATTTCGAAAAGGCCTTCGACACAGTCGACCAAGAAGTAATTTCTCAGGCAGCTGCCTCAACATTACGGTTTTAGAGCCACTAACCTATATCAATCTCATTCAACAGTTGTATGACGACGCTACATGGCAAGTAATTCATAATGGAAAGCTCAGTGATGCCTTTGAAGTGAAGGACAGGAAGGAGTAAAACAAGGTTGCCTAATACCTATCACCGATCATCTTCCTGGTTGTGGTCGACTATAATGGACTGGATCATGCAACAAACTGTGAGGAGTGAGAAGATGGACATGTGCTGTTTGACCGACAACAGACTCTAGAAATTTGGATTTCACCCATAATGTTTTATGTCTAATGTCTTGTCGTACAAACTCGAAGATCTACAGGCGAATACTAGCAAGTTGGGAGGAGAGGCGAGGCAGGGCGGCGAAGACAGGACTGACTTCAGGTGAACGCAGAGAAAACAGAGGTGATGAAGACACCCAACCAACAACAACAGCAACAAGCGCCAATCACCATCAATGGGAGAAATCTAAAGCAAGTTGTCTCTTTCACCCACCTAGCTACCTACCTAGGCAGTATCGTTTCAACTACAGGCAGTACAGGCACGGATGAGGATGTGAAAGTCAGGATTGGAAAGACAGCAAGACAGTCCTCCCTTCATTAAGCTGAAATTAATCAGTGTGGAGATCTACTGCACTGCAATCCACTACATTGCACTGCACTTCACTAAGTATAAAGCGTGAACAACATCCGGATCTGCAACACTAATATCAGTCAAGTAACTCAGTGCTTCTATGTGATGGTTTAGAAACTTCGTGTGTTACGAAAAACATTTCCAACAAACATCTGAAATACATCGTCAACAACTGCTGCCTATGCTCATTTGATACTGAAGATGACCAGATGACCAGAACAATAAGAATAAACAACAAGCAACTCTGGCTGGCTGACAGGCAACGAACCAACCAAGAACCCATCGCCCAAAAATATGCAGTACAGAAAGTGGAGATGGACTAGATTGGACATACACTCAGAAGACGGTTCGTGGACATCACGCGTCTGACCAGGCCAAGCCAGGCCGTTTACTGGAAGCCAAATTGTAAACAATGATTTAGGCGTCCGAGTGAGGATATAGAAGAGATTCGTGTGGGAAGAAATGAAAGCTGTTGGGTAGTGGTGGAGCCAGCTTCACAAGACTACAGAGAAGAGAGTGCAACGCAGACGTGCTACTGAAGTGTTATGTTCCACTAGGAACCCTAAAAGACAAATAATAATGCGTAAAAATGATACAAATAGCAATGTACTACTGAATAAAATTTGCTAGTAGTACAACACCGGATGTATTGGGCGTTAAACAATTTCATGGCTGGTATACGAATGTGGACACCGTAGGTGAACTGTCCAGTCTTGCATTTGTCTATTTCACTAGATGAACCTCAATGCATAAACTAGGTAAAAGTTAGTCAAACTCATGGATTCCATGAATTACATGGATGCATGTTATGATGATGAAGTTTTTATTCTCATCATCTTCAGAAAGAGACAAGAGAGAGAAGCATAGACACAATGGTATCTGATAATTCACAAATCTCTCTATCAACATAGATCATGAAGTTGTATAATGTGAATATAGATCTTGAGACTCAATAGACTTCGGTTTGCATCGATTATTGGTAGGAGATAAAGTCTTGACAATTATTGAACATTGTAAGTCATTTATCTAGTAGGAGATTTCCTCCATGTTCAGCTCACCCGTCCTCCTAACCATCCACTTGGTGACTTAAAACACTACACCTTAGCGCTAAACCATTAATGAAGGGACAACGTTATTCGTCCACGTGACTTATAGCAGGAAGTGTGTGTGTGTCTATGTCGCTCCATGTGTCTGTCTGTCTACCCATCGACGCAAGTAGCAATAGCAATCATATAAATTACACTCTTGGGGTGGTAGTAGTAGCAATAATAATAACAATAGTACTGTCATATCAACATAGTAATCGGTGTCATCAAATTATTAAAATCATCCATATTAATCATAAGGAGGCATTAATCATGTATTAGAATAATGAGAATTCGGTGTCACGATTCAATATCCTCACCATTGTGCTGAATAAAACAACAACAACAAAAGCGAGAAATAATCTCGATATTGAACATTGAAAGTGTAGCTTGAAGATATCACAAGGAGACAGAGAGAGAGAGAGAGAGAGAGAGAGAACAATAAATAAATCGAGATGAATGAATAGAGTGAATGAGTGAAAGGCATTAAGTAAATTAAATCCAATGTATATATGAATACAATGAGGAACGATAACAATACACACCGATTATCATAATTTGATGATAAACAACTGAACAGGGAGATAAACATAGAAATATACTCACATATGAATAGAAGTTGACAAGATGAAGGTGTCTATTAGAATAGGTAAGTAAGCTGGTGGGTGTGGGTGTGGGGTAGGTGTGGGGTGGTAACGGGAGGATAATACTGGAAACCGGAAGATGACCATGATACATTAAAGAAGGTCCATTCGAAAAACTGCTGTTTATTCTTCTCTTGTTTATATCCAACAAATTAAAGTGGTTTATGAATGTTAAAATGTGTATGAGAAAATGGAAAACCGTTTTGTTTTAATTCTAATGACTGAAAGTCTCAACTTGCTTCATCGTCTTGTCATCAAGTATGCTACAGAGAACAAGATAACTCTCACTTTACTGAATTGATTTCGATTGTGGCCTAAGCAGAAGTATGATGACTGATTGAGTAAGCACTTCAGTGAACGACATGTAGTTGTGTTGCCTTTGTCAGTCTGAGAGGTGAATATCGTCTGACTTGGGGGTGAGGGTGGGGTGGGGTGGGGCGGCGTGGAGGAGCG